GAAAGTTGTGTGTTTCATCAATGCTACACTGCACCCTGACATACTCGTCTCTACCACACTACCCCTCTGCAAGGGATGTCCAGTTGTCTACAGATGGGCATTGGGTCCCCATCTTGCACTCCCCTTCATTCACGATGATATGCTATGACATGATTTTTTTTTTTTTTTGTTCTTTGGTGCTTGATACCTGGTCCCTTTGACCCCTCGTGATCACACAGGCTGGTTTGCTTCTTCGATGTGGGCTTTGTTGCTTCTGGTCTAGATGGCTACTTATTTACCTTCAAGCCTTTAAGACCCCAGATGCTATATCTCTGGATAGCTGGACACCATCAGCTTTCTTCACCACACTTACTTATGCACACATTTGTCTTCAGAGTTTATATGGTGTAGGTGAGCACACAATGGTGGTTCTTGTTCTTTGGCGTCTGCAACCTGATCCCTCCAATACCTCATGATCACACAGGCTGGTGTGCTTCTTTTCTTTGGGTTTTATTGCTTCTCAGCTGGATGGCTGCTTGTTTACCTTCAAGCCTTTAAGAGCCCAGGCACTATATCCTTTGATAGCTGGGCACACTCAGCTTTCTTCACCACATTTGCTTATGCACATGTTTGTCTTCAGCGATCATGTTGGGAAGGTGGGTATCATGGAATGACCATTTAGTTGAGCAAAGTGTTCTTGTATTGATGGAGTACGTGAGTGGAGGCCCAATGTCCATCCACTACCCTACTCCTAAACCTATAAATATATGCACATAGATCTATTTACCCCATCATCATATATAAATATATTTACATATGTACATGCCTGTATTTAGGCCTCTATGTATGCCCTTTGCCTGAATTCTTTCCTCTATTTCCTTTTGCTTACCCCTTGTCCCACTCCCATGCTTATCCTTCGTTTAGGTTTCAGTAATTCCTCATGGTTACAATGCCCTTAATCACTCCCTACCAGTCCTCCCACTCCCTCCTTGCCACTGGGTTTGAACCACTCTTTGTTCCCTTGCCCTGGGTTGGCCAACACCTCTTCCCTTCCCCCACCTCTCATTCTCCCATGTCCCTTGAGAACCATCAGTTCTGTTGTTTTCTTCTTCACATTTTTTATCCAGTCTATCTTATCTAGGTAGGCCTGCAGAGATAATAATATGCACATAAGATTATGTATGGCCTCCACAGCACCAAACAAAGTGACACATAAAAACAAGGTGAAGACGGCAGCAACAACAACAAACTAAGAAACAAAAAACCAGAACACTCCTATGGGTCAACAAACACACCTTGAACTATTAACAGGCTTTTCTTTCTTTCTTCCGCCCTCCCTTTTTTCTTCTTTTAGCTTTTATATGTCATAGATCAGCTCCTTAAATGGGAATAGCAAGCCCCCTTTTCTTCCTGTAGAGTGGCTGCTGGTTTTGAACTGCTAGTAATTGCAGTTAGTAGCCCAACACGTAACCACTACACCATAAGGATTTCTGGGAACATAGTGGGTACTCAATCAATAATTTTTTTAGGGATATCATCATTGGATATGACATACTAAAAACAGATTCTGGAGAAATGCCAGGTCTGGATTTATAGGAAGGATTTGTATGAAAAAATAATCTATCACTTCTCACCACTAATTTCACTCTAACCCTGATCTACCGACCATAGCTAGCCTTCATCTGTCACCTGGATTAAGAGACTTTGTCTATATTAACAAAGTAGAGTATTACAATGCAAGGACATGGAGTTAGAAGCCAAAAAGAACACTCAGCGTATCTTAAGTTGGACAAAATGACGAACAAAATTCAAGTATTGATTTTGAATTGCAATCTTGAAAGATTCTATGGACAAAATATTGAGTGATTCGGGAATCACCAAAAGAAGATGGAAATGATACACCGAGTCACTATACCAAGAATAATTGGTCAATGTTCAACCATTTCAGGAAGTAGCATATGATTAAGTACCAATGCTGCTGAAGAAAGAAGTCGAAGCTGCACTGAAGTCATAAACCAAAAACCAAATTTTAGAAGTTGATGAAATACCAATGAAAGGATTTGACATGCTGATAAAACATTTGAAATGTTCACATATCTCTTTGGAAGACAGCTACCTGACCAACCAAATGGGAAACGATTCAGAGTTGTGCCTATTCCAAAGAAAAGTAACCCCCAAAAATGCAGAAACTATCATACAATAGCATTCATATCATGTGCAAGTACAAGTTTGCTAAAGATAAGTAAAATGATTGCAGTAGTATATCACATGAAGCTGCTAGAAATTTAAGCCAGATTCAGAGGATGACGTGGTACCAGAGATGCCATTACTGATGTGAGATGGATTGGGCCTGGTAGCAGAGAAAACCAGAAATCTGTTGACTTATGTTCCATTGACTATGCAAAGGCATTTCACTGTCTAGAATATCATTGAAAGGAATGGGGACTTTTTTTTTTTACCATGTATGGCATAATAACTAGAATTGAGACCCTAAAATATCATAAAACCAGCGCTTTCATTTTTCTGTGAGATTAACTTTATTGTAAATCTTTTTTTTTCCTACACACAACACTGAATTATTATCTAGGGTTCTTTCAGCCCTAACTGAAGAGAATCTTCTAGCATATCATATAAGGCAGGTGTCACTGAGTGTCATCAAGTCAATGTTGACTCATAGTGACCCCAGAGAACCGGGTATAAATGCCCCTGCCCCTGTGGATTTCCAAGAATGGAACTTTCTATGGGACTAGAAAGTCCTCTATCTTTCTCCCTCAGAGTGGCTGGTGGTTTTGAACTTGAGGACCTTGTGGATCTCAGCCCAACAGGTAAACACTGTGCTACCAGGGCTCTCTCTTTGATTTTTTTCCCTCAAATCTGGAAATAATGTTAAATTCACCCTCATTCATGATAGATAGTTTTTGCCAGATATAGAATTTTTAATGATATTTTCCCCCTAACAACATTTTAAATATCTCATTCCACTGCCTTTTTGATCTCCAATGTTTCTGAGGAGAAATTGACACTGAATTTTATTGAATATTCTTTGTGTATGACAGTTGCTTATCTCTTATTGTTTACAAGGGCTTATATGTACCATTTATTTAGGTAAAATTGATTATAATGTGACTCCATTTGAATTTCATTGAGTTTATCTTAGTTGGCATGCATTTAGCTTTTTGCATTTGTAGATTCATGTATTTCATGAAATTGGAAAAATATTTTGAAATTATTCCCATTAAAATTTTTTTTTTACAGATAGGAACTGAAAATACAGGGAATCCAGGACGCATGAGCCCTATAGGACCAGTGGTGTGTGAGTGGCAAAACAGGGAGGGTAAAGGGAGAATGGGTAGGAAAGAGGGAACTGATTACATGGAACTGTGTGTGACCTCCTCCCTGGGGGACAGACAACCGAAAAGTGGATGAAGGGAGACGTCGGACAGGGCAAGATATGACAAAATACCCATTTATAAACTATCAAGGGCTCATGCGGGAGGGGGGAGCGGGGAGGGAGGGGAAAAATGAGGACCTAATGTCGGGGGTTTAAATGGAGAGAAAATGTTTTGAGAAACGATGTACAAATGCGCTTTACACAATTGATGTGTGTATGGATTGGTATAACAGTTGTGTGAGCCCCTAATAAAATGTTAAAAAAGAAAAACAAAAACAAAAACAAAATTCAATGAAAGGCAAAAAAAAAAAAAATTCCTGTTGTCCTCTTACTAGGATAGAAATTATCTTTAGACATACAATAATATTTAAAAATAAAATTACATCATGATGCACTTAACAACTATTTGCGTGCCATAAATGAGAAAATTCAAAACACCGCTGAGAGATTTGAAAGTTTATCTACATAAATAGATAAAGACACACAGATATTGTCTATTGACTTCTTTAAGAGAAGACAAATTACTCTATTGAGGAAATGACTTTGAAGTCATCTCTGACCTCTGACTACACCATAGGTTTCCAAACTTATTTGGCTTACTGGTGTTAGGGAGCAAAACAGGGACTAGGGGTGTCTAAGGGGCAGGTGCCAATTCAGGCCCCCAAGCCAGGTGGGTGGTACACGTGGGTGGGCCCAAACTAGGCCAGATGGTCATAATTCAGCCAATGGGGTCAACCAATTATGTCAGCCACGCCTCCCAGCCGAAGGCCCTAAATACCTGAACCTGGAGATTACCTGCCCCTGTGGCTGCCTCTCCATTTTCTGCTAGGCCTGTGTGATGGTCTCTCTCTCTCTCTCTGGCCTCAGACCACCACTGCAGGTGTGTAGTCCCGTGAGTTGCCTGTGTTCAGTGACTGTTCAGTGACCGGAAACTCTTTCCGTCCTTTATAAAAACGCATTTGGATCACAAACCAGGCTTCAGTTTGAATTATTTCTTGTGCAAGGCCACGAACCGAGGTATTTCCCACCCAAGAAACCTAACACTGTCTCTTTTTGGAAGAAAAACATACGCTGTGTCCTGCTAGAAATAAAAAAACTTTTTTTTAACCATAGCTCATGATCCAGAATAAAATGTAGGTTTCTCTTTTCTATTTTGCAGCCCAGTCCCTACTCGTTTCAGCACCACCCAGGGGCAGCACCACCCACTTTGGGGAACACTGGGCTACACCACGGAGGAGAATCCCATTCCACCTCTGCTCAAGAATTATTCCTATGAGGCAGAGGTAAGACATGTTTCTCCCCCCAATAATTGGCCCTCCCAGGACATTCTATTTCTCTGCTGCATTTGATAATATATTGTAATGGCCACATAGACCTTACGGACACGATTCATTGTTATGGGGCTTACAGTTGCTAAGGGTAGGAAATGGTAAGAATACAGTTCTTTTGTCCGCAGAACCTCTTTTCAGCTAGGCAAACAGACACATCCCTCTGACCATTGACCTCTCAGTCATATGATGCCTTGGTCCAAGTCCAACTTCAGTGTTACAGAGCTCCCTCCCTCCTTCACTGCACACTACCTTGCAAACCAGCCTCCTGTCTGAAGGCAGGCTTGCTCTTCCTCAGGGTCTCAGCACTATACCTCTGTTCTCGCTCTCGTGGTCTTGGAGCAGCTGCTCGGCTCTGTTTGTCGTGGTGTGGTGGCCTCTGGGGCCTCTGCTGCCTCTGCTGCTTCAGTCAGGAATTTCACAAGTGCTTTGCTCCTGATGAATATTGCTTGACGGTTGTGCATTCCCTCTGTTCCTGCTTTTTGAAATGGCGCAATCTTACACCCAGCCAAATGGCCAAAGTGAGTGAGCGTCTTCTACTGCCTTACTTGCATGTCCCCACCAAGTCATTTAGTGGAAATTACAAAGATTATGGGTAGAAAAACTATACCCTTGATTGCACCTGTTATGCTTGATGACTTTTTTTTTGTTGAAAATGAGCAATTACAATATTGCAATGTGTTACCTTTGAACATGCATACATATTTCTTAATTCCCCCTGTATACGTGCTGGTTTCTTTAGAATGCAATTGTTAGTGTCATCCTCATTTATTCCAAGTGATTAAGAGTCAGCTTAGTCTTCATTTGTTGTTCCTGGGCCCTCCTTTCCAGTGTATGATCTCCAAGTCAGCTGGAACTGAAGCACAGTCCTTCCAGCAACCTGGCCGACAAACACATGTGGGATTAATTGAAGGACTGAGGGATAGATGGCTCAGTGAACCTTGCCTTTTGTGTTCTCGGTCTCTTGCTTTGGGATGGTCGCACCAGAGTGCAGCTGCCTTAGCAGTTCCCTGCTTCAGCTTGCAAGATTGACTTCTTGCAAGATATCCCCAAGTAGAAGCCACATGGACCTATCCTGATGCAGCCCTTGGTGCTGGAGCAGCCGTGTGGAGACCCCTGCCAGTGCTGAGATGCTTACACATTCACTGACTTAGCTTTACTCCTGCAGTCGGCATCATTGCCTCTGTTTTTTGAGATGGAGGACTTTGTGGATTGGTGTCGGACATATGGGTTAATGTTGGACTTATGGGCTTGGGCAGCACTGGGTTGGGATGTTTTCTTGATGTGCACTTAGCCTTTATATAATATTCTCTCTTACACATGAGTTTCTGTGGATTTGTTTCTCTAAAGTACCCAGACTAATACACCTGGTCATAAGGGTATAGATACATTTAGCAGTTAGACAGCAACATTTGCCCTGCTCCTTCCAGACACAGATAGTCCACCCCCTTTGAATCTGTGGACTGTGTGCTATGCCTCTGCGCCATTAACTTCAGGCTGCTGCCAAAATGGCAAGGGGAGAGGAATGCTTCCTTCTTGTTTTAGAGGATTCTTGATTGCTACATGCCTCCACTTGCTTTTAAGTGTTACAGATTTTACTTGTTTTCCTTATTGATCCTGCTTGGAATTGAGACCATGGACTTGCTCATGTCACCATCTTTTTGGCAAGACCTAATATTTTCAATACTTTCTCCCCAAATTGATGCATATGTTGGCAGAAAGCCCTATCATATTTCTATCAGGCTTCCTTTTGTAAGTAGAAAAATTGGAGCATCGAATAAAGCATCAATAACATAGGCTTAAAGCATATAAAATGGTATGGAAAAGAATAAGGGTTGGAAGACTATGTAACTTAAAACCTCAGGTTAGAGTTATATTAATTATAGTGCTTTGATATTGCCATGTTGTTTTCACCAGCAAATTGATTCTGACTCATGGTGAAGATAGACAAATAGAAAAATAGAACAGAAATGCATCCACATTTAACAAGAACTTATTTTTGACAAATGATCTAAAGCCCTTCATTGGGAAAAGGAAACTTTTTTTTTCCCCTTTAAGCAATGGTACTATAACAACTGAATATCTATTATGGGGAGTGTAGGCCTTGTCACTTCCTTATCACTATTTATAAAAATTAATCTGAGTGTTCTCAAACCTAATTAAACAAAAACCATTAGGCTCACTTACATCAAGTCAATGCTGACTCATAGCGACCCCTCTGTGGGTTTCTGAGACTGTCACTGTTTAGGAGAGCAGAAAGCCCACTCTTTCTCCCTTGGAGCTGCTGGTGGTTTTCATCTGCCCACCATGCAGGTTGCAGCCCAACGTGTAACCACTAGATTATCAAGGCTCCTTATAATTTTGATCTATAAAGATTCAAAAATATAATTAAAGACATTATATTTGACGCATTAGTGTAAGTAGAGCTTTATTAGTCATTTCATAGAAAGCACTAATAATAAAATATAATGATAAATTAGGTTTCATTAAAATTAAAATATTCTACTGTTCAAAAGACCCTGCCAAAATAGTAGCAGGCAAACAATAGCAGAGGGAAACATAGTTATAATCCGTATGTTTTCTAAAGGACTGACATATGCTCAAACACCTATAGAGTTTAAAACTATAATGATTAAGAACCCAGTAAAGCTAGGTAAAATAGTTGAAGAGGTATTTCATAAAATGAAAAGAATAATGAATATATCGAAAACATGTTCAAAATTGTTAGTCTTCAGATTAAAAATCCAATCTATCACACATCATACACCAAGACCACTATACTCCAAGGATGTTTATAATAAAAAATTAATATTAAGTATTTATGAGAATGTAAAGCAATATTTTAGAGTTGCAGTTGGTCTATATTCTTGTGAATACTTAAAATGGTACAATCATGTTGGGAAATTGTATTGCAATTTCTCTAAATTTAAGCACGCACTCACTTTATGACCAATAACCCTACTCAAATATCTACACAAGACAAAGTAAATCTATGTCCACACAAAGACGTGTACAGAAATGACTATATAGCTTTTATTCATAATAATCTCAAACTTGCTGCACCCAAAATGTAGAACAATTGGAGAATGTGTAAACAATTGAATAGAATCATACCATAAAATGCATTCAGTCATGTAAAGAAAGAATTGAAATAAGGTACCTTCTGTACCAGTTTCTCTATGTCAACTCTCAAAAAGACAGCTAATTTATAGGGACAGAATCAGATTAGTGGTTGCCTATAGATAGGTTTGGGTTGTTGCTGAAACATAGACAGTTCTTTTGTTCTTGAATGTTTTTGCCTCTATCCAGGATACTCCCTGCCTTCCTTATCAAATCCCTTAACTTTTGCTAGTTAACTCCTACTCAGCCATCCTTATTAAGAAGATTGCACTTCATAAAATAGTTCCCGACCCCATTCCCAATGTAAATTAGTTACTCCTGTTTCTCTCTCTTTTTTTTCTCTCGTAAGTTTAAAATGTTAACGTATGCTTTTGATAACTTTTCGCTATGCATTTATTGTATTATCATTGCAGAGATCAGTGTTTTTCTATAAATGTATTCTGAATATATTAATGCGTAAACAAAAACCTCAATGCTTAAGTGAAAATGTATGCGACATTGTTAGTGTATGTCCATTTTATATGAAAATGATGAATAACCTCGGTCTAGTTGTTCACCAGAGTTCATGACCATGAACATTTAGCAGATAGTTTTGCCTTCCTCCCTGTCTCATGCTCTTAAACACACACACACACACACACACACACACAAATGATTCCTCCTTACAAATAGAAGGCCAAGATGATTTGTGCTAATGGCAGAAGATAAAAGTAGTGACTAAGAAGCAACTGCTGCCATTGAAGTGAGCATGTTCGTCCCTAGATATTTTAGACTAACCGCCAACACAATTCACTATACGTATGAGACATTTAGGGTCCCTGAAGGTGCAGTGCGTTGGGCTGCTAATTGCAAGGTCAGCAGTTTGAAACCATTAGCTGTTCCTCGGAAGAAAGACAGGGCTTTCTGCTCCTGCGACAGTGCCAGACTTGGAAACCCCCAGAGGCAGTCCTACACGGTGCTGTAGGGTTGGACTGAGTAAGCCTCGACTCGATGGCAGTGAGGTTGCTTTGGTTTGGTCTGGTACATTTAGAAAACAAAAGAAGGCGGCAATGTTTATTCCCACCATTCCACTCCCCCCCCCCCCCACACATTTTATATATATCTTCTCTTAGTTAACACTTATCAGATGGTTTCTTTGTTTTTAATTAGGAGAGAATAAATTTATCAATTGATCTCTGGGAAAATTCATTGGCTTGAATTGAGGAACCAAGCAATATGTATGAAGCGCATATAAAGAGATAGAGCGAGACAAAGAGAACTCTGCTTTGATACTTCATATGAACACACCATTGATAGGGAGATTATTCTAAGATTTATAAGAGGTTTTGGGAGGGAGGTGGGTAAAATAATGGAGGTGGGGTAAAAGGGAGATGATGTCAAGGGGTCCATGTAGAAAAAAAATGTTTGGAAACTGATTGCAGTGGCAATTGTACATTCTACTGGATGTGATTAAAGTTTGAAACTAAATGATATATGTATTAAATCCCAACTAATGATAAAAACTGTATTTAAACAATGTAGTTAGCATTAAAATGGTTCATATGACTTAGAGATATCTTACATGGGAAGGATGATTATTAAAGGGACAACATATTCTTTGTTAAAAAATATAAAAATGAGATTAAATGTATTTCTTAGCCAACTACATTTTTTTAATTGCAGGTAAGGGCATGATTTTAAATGTCAAAAATAGCCAAATATGAATCTCCTTTCAAGTAGTTGCTCATTATGCTTTCTAAAGATTTAGCAAGGATTAATCACATACAATAAAAGGACAATAAAACTATGCATCAAAATTTAAAATCATGATTAAATAATAGCATTACTTATATATG